TTTCTTGACAGAGTTGGCATGTGCTATTAGCACTAATTCCTTGAACCTTAGCTTCCTTTGCACTGATTTGGAGGGCTTGTTCTTGTGCAGCAAAAATCAAGCCTTCTAATTAATTATGGGTCCAATCTGTTGTTCCAGCTGGGTACCTGATTACTGGAACTGCCCATGTGTTTATGGCTTTGTATCTCAGCCATTCAATTTTGATTTTAGGATTTTCTGCAGTCTTTACATGTGTACCCTTTCTGTCAGATCTTTAACTTTTGTGTGACAGGATGTTTTTTGCTTCTAGTATTCCAAGGTAATTTTTTTTAAATCATTTGATAGTGATTTTATAATATCACCATCTTTTAAAACTACTGTATTCCAATTATATTTTGGATCTCGCCATGGTGTGTTATTGTGTTGTTGTTTGTTATTACTATTTTCAAAGTGTTAGATCACTATTACAGATGGAAATAAATGTATCCAACAGATCAGACTGCAAGGTTTCCTTCCAGCCTGAAACCCGTGACCCGAGATCCATTACTTGACACAGCTTATGCTGACAGAGGCATTCGTATATGGCAAAATGATTCAAAATAAATTGATTTCACAAGCAATTTAAAATAAATGACCCTTTTGCTGCCAAGTAAAATACTTTGCTTTCCAACAACAACAAAAAACCATTCTTCCCAGGTAAAATAATCTGTGCTTCCCTGTTGTTGTGTAGTTGGAATTGTTAAAACCTGATTTCAGATATGCTAAATCACATTCAAAAAGAGGTGTTTTCTTTTTCTTTTAACATGTAAAAGCACCAGTCTGTTACAGTTTCTCTCTCTTTCTTGTCTGCAGTAATGGGGATAATAATACTGGCCTAACTGACAAACTTGTAAAAATTATTAAACCAAAATATTGGAAAGGTTGAAAAATTGCCATGGAAAGTCTAAATAGTGCTGCTAATCAGAAGATTGCCTAGTGAATAATCAATATGATAGGGCTTTCACTTTATATTCTTGTGCTCTACCACCTTAAAATGCGAAAAAAGGAGTTTGGCTTCCTTCTTTCTTTGATCAACCAACCCCCACACACACCCCAATAATGGTTCTGCACTTCCCTTGATACCTGGAAGACAGTGGCTTGTTCAAATCATTGCTCATTGAAACAAACCAAAAACTGCATGGAACAAACCAAAGGTCTCTGAATTGGGATTGATACTGTACTTTTACCAAAACATTTCCCAGTGCTCTGTTAGCTGTGTTCCAACTTATTACAGCCATATTTTTTCTTATAGGCCTTGTGTTTTGGATAGCAATATCTGAAATGTCTACTATTGCCATCTGTATCTCAAAGGATTATTATTTAATTTTTTATTACTTGAAATATTTTTTAAATTGTTTCCTAACATAAAAGCACTTTTGCTTTGATTGGGTAAATGGACCTAATAGAATGTATTCACGAAGGCCTAGTAGACTCTGCTTCATTTGAATGGGCTGAACTACCTGATTTTGAGATCCCTTTATAATGCTAGGAAGGATCCAAGAAAATGATGTAACCCATCAGTGGGTTTGGTCTGTACCAGTTCATGCTTAAAGATTGATTCATGTGGGTCTTCTCTGACTATGACTGTCTCCATGTAAACTGACATTGGCTGAGAAGTCCTAGTTCAGTTTGGTAGAACTTATTTCCATGAATACATGCTTAAAAAATGCAGTTTACACATAGGTGGCTACAATCTTGCCCAAATGATCATGACTTCAAAATTCCTAGGGTGCAGTGCTATACCTTGAGTGCAAGTGTAATCATATTGAACCAAGGATGTATTTCTGATACAAAAAGGAATAGTGCCATTAATAGCATAGTTTCTAATAAATTAATAAAGACCCAACAGTTACAGTTGTACAAATGTACAAAAGTGACAAATTGATGATACTTTTTTTCAGAAAGTTAGTTGCAGTATTTTGCAGTGTGGATATCTTATCTAAGTGGAGGAAAAATACAGAATATGGCTACAGAGAAATCAACTTCATAAGAATTCATTCATTTAATTTCATTCAGTAGCTTTCTAAAATTAAAACATGTATAAAGGTTATTGAAATAATTATCAGTGACATTTAGATTGAGGGTCTGGTAAAGAGGAAACAATTTTTTGTTATTCTTCATAAATTGCAGTTTTTGTTAGGATACAGTCATATGTACCTCCAACTGAGAGTGATCCTTCTGAACAGAACTAGGCTTCTTTGTGTAGAAAACATGAATGCAGATTGGGCTTCTAGAGATATGTTTTCATATTCATGTATCTGATTCTCAAGTAACAAAACAGTCTACCTTCTCCCATTTTTCCGTTTGAAATCCCGTACTTTGATTATGTTTGAATACACTTGAATCATTATTACACTTGAATACATGGGCATGTAGGCTCTAATAGTGGCCAAGTAAATGAATAGAGAAACCTCTGATTAATATATGAGTGTTAGACCGTCAGTCTCTGTATTACATGTAATAATAACTTTGGGTTTTTTGTCTATCCAGTTTTTAATTTCCAGGGGTGGTCTTAAGTCAGGAAACATTTAGTTTTACTCGAGCACATGAAATGGAACCCTGTAGTGGTTTTGGTTGAATTTCAAAATAAAATGTAACACAGTAACAGTCCCCCCCCCCTTTGTTTCCAAAGAGAGATCTGAGATCACTCTTTGTGGATGGAAGCATATGTGAAGCAGGAATGGAATGGATTGTAGAAAAAAGTTTGTTTAATCTAAAATTGACAGTTTTGTTAACTAGTACATTTTGAATTGACATGAAGACCAACACATTCAGGGTTGTATATTTTTATATAAAGATGGCATTTCAAAATATTCTTGTTGGTTGCATTTAACATATCAGTAATAAATGGAACAAAAAGTACTAACACAAACTCAGTAAATTCTTTTTTCCACCATGGCTTCTGTAGTTGCTTGCAGTTTCTGTCTTATCAGGCTACTAGTATGGGAGGAAAATCTCTTCAATATTTCTGAAGAGTGAAGAGAATTAGTACGGAGGATGAATTTTAAATACCCCTATAATGGATTTCAAGAGGTGGTCCGTAATAACACTATTTTTAAGCTTAAGAAAAATATTTTGTGTAAGTTAGTGATGGATTTAAAACTACATCGTTTTCTGTATTCTTGCAAATCATTAACTTTGATATATCTTTTGATACAGTATTTTGAAAATGTGGTAAATACAACATTATCAAGTTTCACAATTGTTAATCATAGAAATGTATGTTATTTTTCTTATACTAGAAGGTGATGTAACTAACGTTCATGAAGTGAAATAACCATTTTGGTAAAAAAATGTAAAAATGTCATATTTATTTTTATAGTATATTAAATTTCCATTCTTCCCCTAAGTTCTTGTTTTTATATAAGTTTAGGGAATAATAGGAGAGGACTCTGCATAAATAGCTATTCCAGTTTTGTAATTGTGACTGAAATAAAAATAGAGAAGAATCTGTGTTTGTAGAATAATCTGTAGTTTATACTGGACAGATCAGAGATTTCCTGTATGACGCTGTAGTGAGAAGTGGAAGATACTTTGTCACATGTTATAATAGTTGATAAGGAAGCTGTAATATCATACCCATTTTATGGTAAAACTGTACAAGGCCATTCAGTTGCCTGTTTGCCTTAGGAAATCTCACCATGATGGTAAAATTCAACCAGGTTTTTACGTTTGTGTGAGTTGGAGCAACAGGAGTGGCAAATGAGCATTAAGAAAAAGGAAATTGGAACATATTTTTATAGTTGCAACTTGTTTATGAAATATACCTGAACCTGTGCACTTTGCATTATAATACGTTTTTTGGCATCCCAGAATGGAGCAACTTAGATTAAGGGGGGACATGTGTACAGGGAATATCATTCCAAGAGAGTAGATATAATTTTGAGCAGCAGCAGTAGCAGCAACAGGACGTTTCTGTCAAAGAGTTCCTCCATAATAACGCATAAATAGAAGGAAAGTGACATTGAGAACGGTGCTTTTGCCTCTGCAGCAATAATGGCCCACTTTCAGCCTTGTGAATTTAATAGAATTTAAGCAGCTTCAAATGTCTGAAACACAGATGGATATTAATCTAAATAAATGATTTTGGTGGAGGGAAAAAAAAGTCGAGGAATGCTTCTGTTTTGTTTTTGTTTGTCCACCATTTAAGAACATAACCTAAGGAAATTATCTGTTAGGCAGAGTGGAAGCATCTTTTTGATAATTTATCTCTGGAATAAGAATGTTTCTCTGCATTAAGAAGAGACTTCAGTTTGTGAACACAATTTCCCCTTCAGTGCTAATGAAATAATCTGTATTAGGAAAGTATGGTGAGTGTGCTGGGAATGAGTTGGTCTCCACTGTAATAGATTTGTTGGGCACTTCTAGAAATTCTCAAGTCCAGTAATCTTTGTTTCGTTTCCACGAGTAATGCTAAGCATGTTTCAGAGCCTCAGGCGTAATGTTATAGGAACAATTAGACCAGTACACACACACACCAGTATTTCCTTCGATGCCGGACCTGTGCCTGATTGCACAACCAGCACTTTGACAAATAGCTGTTGCAAAATTTTGCTTGTGTGAGATAAAAACCAAGAGGAAACTGCCCTTAAAGTTAAGATAAAACGTTCATATGAAGGCAGAAATATATATATTTCAGTTGATTCTAGAATGGTACCCGGTTTCTCCGAAAATAAGACCTAACCTGAAAATAACCCCTAGTATGATTTTTCAAGATTCTTGTAATATAAGCCCTATTGCAAAAATAAGCCCTAGTTAAGTGAAACCCTGCCCTCCACCATTGTGCAGCTATCAGAAAAAATGACTGTATTAGAATAAATGTAGATTATTGTACATGAAAAAAAATAAAACATTCCCTGAAAATAAGCCTTAATGTGTTTTTTGGAGCAAAAATTAAGACTCTGTCTTATTTTCAGGAAAATACAGTATTGTTTGGTATTATTTGACTGAAATCTTCATTTATTTTTTCCTCTGTCTTTCAGAGATGCGAGATAAAATGAGAAAGTGGAGGGAGGAAAACCATCGGAATAGTGAGCAGATAGTGGAAGTTGGAGAAGAGTTAATTAATGAATATGCTGCTAAACTTGGCGATGACAGTAGGTGAAAGCTGTTTCATACCTATAGGTTTAATCTTTACAGCTGTTTCATTACTGTCCCATTGATTCCTACATTAATTTTATTTCTTTTTTACTGTGTTATTCTAGGGTGTGTTGATATATGATGTGCCTATACATGCCATAAACTCAGGATCCGCCAATATTTTTGTGTCTTGATCTGCTTTCTATCTAAAGGGTGATGTACAACCGAGCAGGATGTACATCCTGGACCACTAGTCAAAGAAATCCTTTGAGATGGTCCTTGGCTGGGCACCTTTGGATGAATTTCATTCAGTGGTTGTCATTGCTGTTCTGAGAGACGGCTAGAGTTTGAACTGGAGAAGAAAGGCCATTCCCGAAATTAAACTGTAACTCTGAGTGTGTGGAATCAATATAAGAACTGCTTTTATTATAGCATTGGGCATGAAAACCTAGGGTGTGCCTGGGTTTTCATTACATACCGTATCCCTGAACCATTTGGGAAGATTTTAAGTGCACGGCACTAATTCTCCCTAGATAGAAACTTGGCATATGATATTGTATGCCAGAAGGGAATTGTTTAAAAAGAAAGTCACAATAATGCAGTACCTCTTTAAATATATGTGCAGGATAAAGGATCTGAGAGTTTTATGGCAAGAGAACTGTATAATGTTGACTAAGGCTCTTATGTGGGCAGGAAGGGAGTGAGCATCAGTCATTTTTTTAATGAGCTCATTCTAGTTTCTGTTTCTTTTTTATAACCACTTCACCTGATTCAAGCAACCTAAGGAGTTGAATTCTGACAGCGTTTTCAGAGAAGGGAATGGGTATACTTTTTATTTAATTTTAGGAAAATTTGCTCTTAGTGTGACTTAAATTATACAAAAAGAAAAATTCATAATTTATTTTTAGTTCATTTGTTTTAAATTTCTACCAGAGAACTTACACATTGGGATGGCACCAGAAGGTGTCACTAATATATGTGATAATGATGACTATTACAATCCCCCTCGGTCTCTGAGAATAGCCTGGATAGTGTATATACAGATATTCCATAACATAGTCCCAGTCAGTTTCTTATTTATTCTATTGTTTCTTAATTACAGTTTTAAATGGCCAAGAAAATATGGGCCACAAGAACACATTAATTTTATTGCTTTAGTCCTTTATTGATAATCACAGACAACATTACTTTTTTCTGATTAGTGTGTACTTTTGGTGTTTATTATTGTTTTGAATGACAGCACGAATGAACTCTTCTCGGTTTCCTGCTACCATACCCATTTTTGTTGTTACAGACTGTGTAGAATTTATTCTGCTTAACCTGAGAGGGCAGTCTGATTTTAGTAAAGAAGATATTAAAATGATCAGTACATTCATTCATTTGTGTTGTAAAAGACAGCATGAAACAGGTTACATAATGTGGGAAGCAGGATCTAATATTGGACTATCTGGAAGCATCAAGATGCCTTTAGTTTTTACATAAAATAGTTTTAATGTGTGTGTGTCCCAGAAACTGTGACACTTGCTTTTCCTCTTGCCTCCCATCTTGAATGTCGAACATACTGAACATAATAAGGGACTTGGAAGTAATTTAATCAGATTAGGTTATTTTTGGTCAATGGAATATTTTAAGAGTATATGTGAGTTGAAGCATGAGCCCACTATTGGCAGAGGTTGGTATTAAACCTTTAGTCTGAGGTTAAATCAGAGTCTACAGAAGAGCATAGTTATTTGAGCTCTCTTTGACTCTGTTTCTGTCTCAGAAGTTGCTTCTATAAAACCTTGGAATTCAGTTCATATCCTCGTTTGAGAACTTTGTGAAAATGTTAGTTGAAGGGAAGAAACAACACATCTGCACTGAAATATATTTCCTCTTAAAGCTGCTTTTTGAAAACGTGGGGGTCGGAATCATTACAAAGTTTATTTGATATCACAAGTACTTTTTTGTGTTGAGTAACAGTGCGTTGTTTTATGGATATGCTTATAACTTTTGGAATGTACAGCATAAACAGTGCTTAATTCTTTTAAATATCTTGAGCAGTGCATACTAAACCAAAGTAGTACTGTGACAGGATCATGTTGTAAGAAGGTGGTTGTGATAAAAATATAAAAGATAACATAACTGGTTTTGTGTGTTCAATGTAGATGTTAGCAGTTTTGAAAAGACACTTATCTGTGTTGTGTGACTAGTCTATTTTTATGTTGTCTAGTTTGGATAATATATGAACAGGTGATGATTGCTGCGTTGGACTGCAGCCGAGATGACTTGGCATTGGTAAGTGTTGCTTTGATGTTTCGTGTGACTTGTTGTGCTTTGGAACTCTACTTGCGCAGCCAGGATCTCCCACCTGATGTTCATTGGACCCTACTCTGCCTTCCTGAAAAGCTTTTCTTCCTTTTATAGAACCCTCTGAAGTAGTGTGGCATGCCGGATAGAGGACACCAGTGTGCATGCGGGGGGAGGTTTGCTAGAAATTGAATAACTGCCTTTGCTAATGTGAAGATAATGTTGTACAGATATATTAAAGTCTTCTTGATCATAAGTTGATAGCACAGAAATCTGCTTTGGGACTTGACATTCTCCTTTTTTCATTTTTTTAAAAAAAGAAGCACTGTTTCTGTAGGGGAAGCACTACATTTTCCCATTATTGAAGCTTGGAAACATTTCTGCCAAAAGCCGTAATCACTCCTCACCATATATTTGATCTACCATTCTTGTTTCGAAGCATTTCTGTACTGCCTCTTGTAAAAAAAAAAAAAGCAACAACACCCTGAAATTTACAGTAAAACTGTAAACTAAAAAAGTAGTTTACAGTAAAAACACAAAATTGGTAGTCAAAATAAAAGGGCCCATCATTTCTGCAGTCCCCCCCCCCTTTCAAACTGTCATTTCCAAAATGTTCACCCTACCATGCAATACTGGAGTCCAACCCTATGTATTTTAAAGAAACTAGATTTATGATTATCTAGTTTGCCCCACAATAATATGCCCACCCTTCAGTATGTCCACACAGATGCTAATTGTAATCCTCCAGTGAAAGTAGCATGAGTGTAACTGATTTTGGGGGAAAAAGTCTTATAACTGTTTTCATAAGCAATAAGGCTAGGAAAGGAAATATAATGCATATAGCATATTTTTGTATATGATCGTCATAGCTCTTTTAAGGGTTGTAAAGACATTTACAGCTACTTGGATATAAGTTGGGTACTCTCATACTGTGTTGGTTGTTCATAAATATTTGTATATGTTTATATAAGATTTTAAAAATGACTGAAAGTGTCTTTATGATTCTAATAGTTTTTTTAAATTTGAGGCTGTAGTTATTATTTTGCCTGTGCGAGTCATTGCATAATTGTTACAGAAATGTTGTTTGTATAGTGGACATCTTTTTATTTTCTTCTTTTACCAGTGGCAGATAGCTGCAAAATAGGTAACATGATACTTTTTCACTAGTTCTTTTGCAAGAATGTATAAATATTTTGAATTCTATGGAATGTTTTGAAACTGGTACAGGAGTTTGTATTATCTGTAAGATCAAAAACAGGTAAAAAGCCACTGATTAATCTTTATGCAGTGCATTAAAAAGTACTGTGTAAATGTAAGTCTCAAGAATAAAACAGATTTGTTTTATCAACACACATGAACTGTGATCAAACTGTGGAACAATTTTATTGTAATTTTATATGTATATCTCATTCTGATTTTTCAAGTATGTTTGGGTTTGCAGAAATTGAGATTGTGTTGTACAAGAGATCACGCCAGCAAGCACAATATACTGATAGGACTCATTCCAACAAGGTCTTATGGGGTTCTTTTTTGTACAAGTATTTTTATATCACTTGTCATTTACTCAGATCCCAGAGAGATATTCAGTAGCACCATATAGTGGTCCAACATAAACAGAATCATACAACTGTATGGGAATTCCATATAGCTCATAGCAAAGGGAAAACCAAAGTTTTTGATAGTCATCTTAAGCATGCCAGCATTGAGGCACGTCATACCACAGAAGGGAGATAACACGGAGTTTGCTCTCAAATCCCAGTGGAAATCCATGGATAGGGCAAGCTTTTCCTTGAAGGATTCCATTGAGGAAGAAATGCCTCACTTGGTGATTTGCAGTGAACAGTTCTTACTGTTGTGAGGTTTATCTGAATGTTCAGCAAAAATCTGCCTTTTCAAATGCATAACTCATTCATTAATTAAAATATTTCTATCCCGCCTTTCTCCCAAAGACCCAATGCGAATGAATTCAGAGCAGGAAGTGAAAAACAATATTATGCACCTAGAATGAAATCTTGCTTACTTTTCGTATTGTATTGTTTCACTTATGCTGTTTGCCTCCAATAAAAACTCTTTCAGAATGTTTGTAAAAAGCTAGGACTTGTGCATTTCAAAAATCAGTTCAAGATGGCTTGAGATGGTAGTAAAGGAAGTATTATTTTTTTTGTTGGAACTCAGATTATAAAGTAAGTGAGCTTTCTAAACTGTGGCCAAAACCCTGTTCATCTTCATGTAATGTAAAGTTGGAGCAGTATAAGTATGCCAGGGCTTTATTTATTTATTTATTTAAAATGTTTTACCCCACCTTTCACCTAAAAAATAACCCAGTGCAGTTTACATAATTAAAAACACTATTAAAAAAAAGTAAATGATTCCAATATTATGCCCAGATAGTCTGGATTGTGTATTCTGTTTCCCCGAAAATAAGACCTAATTTGTAAATAAGCCCTAGTATGATTTTTCAGGATGCTTGTAATATAAGCCCTACTCCAAAAATAAGTTCCAGTTAAATGAAACTCCGCCCTCCACCATTGCGCAGCAAACAGAAGAAGATGACATGACTCTGTTGGAACAAATGTAGATTGTTGTACATGAAAAAACGAAAACATCTCCTGAAAATAAGCCCTAATGTGTTTTTTGGAGCAAAAATTAATATAAGACCCTGTCTTATTTTCAGGGAAACATGGTAGTTATATTGTATCTTTGTAAACAGCACTTCTGCTTTGCCACTCTTTCCTCTAATGTTGCTGCAGATCCACATTGCACATGTGCAGCTGTGCAACAGGGTTTCAGCCTATATTTGCAGTGTTGTAGTTCTTTGATATTACATAGTTATTCTGGTGAATGAAGATGCTGTCAGTGAAAGCCAAGATTTAAATAAAATGAATGAAAAGTGTTTTCATTGTTCTGGTGGCACTCCAAAGCTATACATGACTTTGCTGAGCAGCTTCATGACTTGAGGACAAGGTAGGGCTGGGGGAAGACCCTAGCAAAGACATAAATAAGTACTGTATTCTCGAAGGCTTTCATGGCTGGGATCTGATGGCTGTTGTAGGTTTTTTGGGCTGTTTGGCCATATTCTGAAGGTTTTTTTTCCCCTAACATTTCCCCAGTCTCTGTGGCTGGCATCTTCAGAGGACAAGAGTTAGAATTCTGTCTGTGTTCTGGTGTAGTGCGTGAGGTAAGGGTGTGGGAGAAATGATCTGTCATTGTGATTGATGGGTGTTGTTAGCTAGTCTTTTGTGTGCGCTGATCATGCAAAACACAGCATCCACACCAGAATCAAAGAACATGAGAGACACTGCAGACTAAAACAACTGGAAAAGTCGACAGTAGCTGAACATACCCTGAAACAAGGTGGACATGAAATTCTATTTCAGAACACAGAAGTACTGGACAACACCAGCAATCATTATGTTAGACTACACAGGGAAGCCATTGAAATCCACAAACACCAGCAAAGCTTCAACAGAAGATAAGAAAGTCTAAAAATCAACAAAGCCTGGCTCTCAGCACTGAAAAATACAGTCCACAAAAGGTCAACAAACTCTACCCAGCCGCAAGGACTGGTAATCACTTCATACAAAAGACTAGTTAACAACACCCACCAATCACAGTGGCAGATCATCTCCCCCCTTATTACAACAATACACCCATAACAAAAAACATGCTGATCACCATAATCACCCAGTGTTCTAAAAAGGACAAAAATCTGATCCCACAGCTACAAATACTCAACTATCCCACACACTACACCGGAATACAGACAGAGTTCTAAATCCTGTCCTCTGAAGATGCCAGACACTGGCAAAATGTTAGGAAGAAAAACCTTCAGAACATGGCCAAACGTACAACAACCACCAAAAAATAAGCCTTTTGCATTATCTTTTGGAGCTAGACATCAGGACAATGCTTTTGAAGAACAATGCCCCTAGTTCCAAATGCAGAAATGGTTCAGGAAAATGCAGTAGTTGATCATGTCAAAGCCAAATAAGAGGCTTTGACATGATCGACTACTGCATTGTCGATCATGCAGCCTAAAAACATAAGATTTCACTCCACCTCTTTCCCAGGCATAGCTCATACATTACTGTGACCAAAATGTAGCGTACAGACCTTTAGGCTGAAACCAGTTTCTTTGTTTTTAGAGACAAATCTAATTAATCTGCCTCATTCCGGAGTGTTTCAGATTGAATAATCACCACCCACTGGAGCTTACATTTTTCTGTTCGGCAGTGGAATATGTAATCTTACATGGTCCACAAACATGGTTTGATTTCCATAGTAATGTATGCTTTAGACTCAATATATTATTTTTTGCCAAGGATGTGTTGAAAGTTAACATATTAACAACAAAAACAACAATCTGATGCATATAAGGTATGAATCCTATTAAAGCATATGATGCTTAAAGAGTGTTTGGGGGTGTGTGCAGGCAGGCAAGTAAACCTTGCCACCACATCCCCATCCTGAAGTCATGCAGACTTTCACATGTTCTGTGTGAAGTCTGCATATCTGCTGTAGACATGTTTAGTTGAACATCCTTAGCAGTTTTTCCTGAATAGAATGCCTTACAGTACATATGCAGACCTTGATGAACACGCAAAGATCTGCTTGACTTTTGGTAAGGTGGAGAGAGAGAACGGCTTACTTGTTTCCCCCATTTCATTACCAACCTTTGATCCTCATGCTCTTTCAGGCTTAGCACATGAATATGTCTTAACAAGTTTAGAATTTCAGAGACTGCAGCCTTAGTTCATATATGCTACAAAATCCTAAGGCCCTTCCAAACCCTTGTTATTTAAATAGGAACCCTGTAACAACATTTATCTTAATTTTAAATCTTGTTATGAGTTTCCTAAAGAACCAATAAACAAATTTAAACTTGTTAATAAATCTTTCAATGTTTTGGTCATTTTTTTGAACACTAATAGGTGGCGCAACCATTTTAAGGTTGAACTTCTGGCCCTGAAGTGTCCTATAAGAAAAACAGCATGATGCAAGCAATGTAACTGCTTGGTCTCCACAATGAAAACAGTTTGAAGGCTTAATGAAAATGTTAGATTTTATTGGTCCTCATACTTTAATAGACATTCCAAATAGCTATAATTCTGACTGGCCTTTTGGCACATCTGGCAGCTTGAGATTCCAAAATTGTGTTTTGCAGTCTTCCTTTCCAGGTGTAGAAAACTCAACAAATGGAAGACCTCTGTTGCAAAGAAATGGGTGCCATCAGTTCCAGATGAGATGTGTTAGAACTCCATTTGGCTGTTCATCAGGATTCTTATCCTTTTAGGACAGTTTCTTCCACCACCCAACATCTGTTTGTAACCTGGGGTAGCTTTGTAGTTCTCTGGCTTCTTCTCATTTACTTACACACAAGCAGAGCACATGCCTTGAGTGAGATCACCTGCTTTTTTGGCAGTCACTTGGAATACCTGTGTTTCAGAAATTGGACTCTGTTTTTTCTTTATTGAGATGAAAGTGTTTCACAATTTTTTTATATTTAATTTAATATTTACAATTTTGTTATATTTATTAATTTCCTTTCTGTCTGTTCAACCCCTCCAACACACACACACACACACACAATAATGACAAAACAGAAGGTAGGGACTGAGCTGAGGGAGGAGTTGGGCTGTCTGGTTTGTACTCCTAATTAAATAGAGTCTCCACAGAGCTGCAATGCTGTATTACTTGGAATACCCAATATGCTGTTTTTTTGGTGTTGAAACACGATAGATGCTAAATGGGATCAATGGTCAGATTTCCAAGACCATCCCCCTTGATCCTTGTTACTGAAACTGATTCACGCTTCTGCCTTCTCTCTCTGACCAGCATCTTCTTTTGCTTTCCCCTCTTATGCCACACTTCTGTCCTTTGAGTGTATTCAGTTTGCCATGCTCACTATGTTAAGCCTCAGCTCCAGGAAATTGTTGGGAAAACCCACTTATTCCCGGCTCTGCTGTCCTCTATCCTTAGGCAAAACTTTGTCTGGTGCTTTTAGTTGTTACCAAAATCACTAAACTTGCTACATGCTTCCTTACAATTCATACTCCATTGAACCATGAAACTTACTTAGTGAATTTAGGCCAATTATTCTCTCTTAACTTGATCTACCTGATAGAACTGCTGTAAGAGCAATGCATGCTGCTTTGAATTCATTGAAAGAAAAGGGATCATAAATATATTAAAAAGGAAAAAATTAGACGTCCCTGCCTATATTTGCTGTCAGCATTCCTCTTTTTAACTTCTTTCATAGACAGTTGTTCATGTTTAATAAATGTCATGCTGTGCAGTGTACAGTCCTTTATCTGCTCAGAAGCAAGCCCCATTGCAAGCAGTGGGACTTAATCTCACATTACTGCATATAGGACTGCACCTTTAAGAACTTTGTGTCTAAATATCCAAACTTTGTAAATTCTGCCCACAGGATTGCAAATTGTGTTATGTGGCTGAAAAGTGCTGTTTATAAATTATAGTGTTGGTTTGAATTGTGGGTGAGGGGGAAGTAACTAGAGAATATTTTTGCTGCCTGAGATCTGGGTGTTCTCTGTGTCCTGGTATCTCTCAAACACGGCTGGAAAAGTGTTGATACCATTTCTTTGGCTTGTATTAAAAGAGGCTGCTGCCAGATGACCCTCTCAGTCACTGTATTCAAATAAACATCACTCATATATTGGTTTCTAACTTGAGAGAAAATGGTCCCTCACCACCTCTTTTTTTCCCTTTGTGTTTTTCTTAAATATACAGTTTTGTCTTCAAGAACTAAGACGACAGTTCCCTGGGAGCCATAGAGTTAAGCGGTTAACTGGCATGAGATTTGAAGCCATGGAAAGGTGACTGGATTTAAAAAAATGTTAGAAACATAACTTTAAACATATATATATAGTATACAAGCAGAATTTCTACAAAGGGATCAAACTTTATGCACTTAGTAATACGTGGTTGTCATTTATAGGAGAACAGACTAGTTAGTATGGTAGCATAACAACAAGATGTTACGTTGTACACATTTTCTGAAAGTCATCACCCACCATAGTCTTGTCTGACTCTTTCAAAGGTCCAACGTTGCACACTGCCTTGTTCATGAGATGTTTACATTCTGGTGAAGATTTCCTAATTTCACTGTGGGATTTAGAATCTTGAATGTTTGTAGTTCTTTCAGAAGAACTAAAATGGATATTTAACTGTGTTGATAAAATAGTGCAGAAAACATGGAAGAGAGCTCAATACATTGAAGAATCTGGAGCAAGGGAGTGAGGGCAGACCTCTGTAAGTCATTCTCACCAACAGGTCTTCCATGCAAAGTTGTTTCTTTGAAGGGGTACTCTACAGATAAGTGCAGAAAACATGGAAGAGAGACTGTACTTTAATAGTAGCATTGCTTATATAAAGTTACAGTTTAAATTCATGACCCGACATCTTGCAGAGCCTCTGCTAATCAAAGTACACTGAGTGGTTTGTATTCTATCAAAAACAAAGGACTAAATCCAGCTGATAGTGCCTATTAAGGTATATCCACTGAACCAATGGTATTTACATAAGTGTTAACTAATCCATTCTTTGAATTGCTAAATCCAATTTGTGGGACTAATAGTTGGATTTAGCCCTTTTAAAAATATAAAGACTTGTCCTTCTCCTTTTGATTCACTGATTCTCAAGGCAATTTATGGCAGTTTGTAATAATAGCAAACAAAAAGCCCTACACCCTCTTGTGCTCAATATCTTGTTTATGCATAGTGAACAAGATTTTAGGCACAGTAAACAAGATTTTGAGCAGTAGTAAATTCACACAAAAAAACCTAGCAGCCCTTGCTGCATCAGAATATACACCCAGCCAGCTTAATAAAGATAGGGTATTGTTACCCAGATCCCTGTCTGTATCCATGTGTTCTTCCATCAGCTGTGTGTAAGCATCTCTTGATGGGCCACTTGAAACTCTAAATTAGGGGTAGGCTAGGTGGTATCTGAGGGCTACATACAGCCTGCAGGGTCCAAAATGTTTTGGCCCACAAATTCCAGTTGTGGCTGCAAAGAACTGTGTGGTTTTTCTTGTGTGTGTGTGGGGGGGGAACAGGGCAGGGCAGCACCATGTTCCTGGCCCTAAATACTTTTGTACCATTTTGTAATGCATGCCGTCTTCTTGTTGATCCTCTTGTTCTTGTTACTCTTTTTGTTCCTCTCCTTGTTCTTGTTCTTCCTGTTCTTCTTCTTGTTCTTCTGTTGTTGCTGGAGAGTATGAGGGGTGTTTGCTGTCATAAAGATTTTACTTTTTTGAAAGAAAACTTGTTTATTTATTTATTTTATTTATATCCCGCCTTTCTGGTCGGATCAGGACCACTCTAGGTGGCTTGATTTTGTTGTGGGATGTTTGTGGAAGGAGGGTATGCCCATTTAACCTCCAGAGCAGTGATTCCCAACTCTGGGTCCCGAGATGTTCTTGGACTGCAGTACTGGGAAATCGTGCCCAGTACAGCCAGTGGTGATGGCTTCTGGAAGTTGTAGTCTAAAAACATTTGGGGACCCAAGGTTGGGAACCACTGCTTTACAGATTGTGTACTCTTGATTTAATTCCATGGAAGGCTATAGAATTCACCTACAAATGTTTTTCTTCTTTCTTGTTCCTGTCTAACAGGTATGATGATGCAATCCAGCTATATGACAGGATTTTACAGGAAGATTCAACTAACACTGTAAGTTGAGAAGTATACCCCAGCATTACGTTTTTTATTTATATTCCACCTTTTTTCCAACAGAGGGACCAAAGATAGCTCAGAAGGGATTTAAAAAGCAAAAGTTAAAATAATCAAAAATACAATAAATTACAGTACTAAGAACAGTTAAATATATTAGTTAACTAAAAATACTAAATTATACCTCTTCAAAACAATATTAAAATAAGTCTGAAAGGTGAAGGATGCAGCTAAATTAAGAGTCTTTCTTCAGCAGTGATTTGCTTATTAACAGGAGTAAGAGATAAAAATAAAGTTCTTTGTGTGTTGGCAGAAGAACAGCAAGAAGACAGTCAGCCTGGTCTCCTATAGAGGTTACACACTTTAAGCTAATATTTTAAGTCATCCTTGTCCACAAGAATGTTTGGTTTCAAATTTCAGAATAATAATCATCTGACATAGTGAATTTAATACATTTGCTAGATGTTGAGTTTTTATTGATTTGGTATGGATACAGCATCTGAGCCATAGCCTCATTGCCAGTAAACGCTTTATATTTTGACAGGCAAATCAAAACAATAGTTCAGTTATTTTAATGAACTCACTGAAGACTCCAGTTTGTAATGTTGAAGGGCAGTTTTATGTAGGAGTCACATGGGTCCATATACCTCAATGATATATTCGGCATATGGAAGAAACATTGTTATGCTAGTCTTATAACCAAAAGTTATAACTAGTTATAATCAAAGATGTGTAACAGTTCTCTTTAGTTTGGATGTGAGGGCTAACTGAGCAAATTGAACTGGAATTAAAACTGCAATTCCAAAAAAGGTAACAACAACAACAACAAGGTTTGAAAAAAACCCAAACAAAATAATAATAGTGGGAAAATGGATTGAAGAAATTTCAAGTGAGAAATTTACCAAAGAACCCTGAAAATGGATGCAGATATACAAATGTGGATTTTAATTTGCATGAAACATATGTCTGTGGACTCAAATAATTACAATCTGATGCAGAGTCAAGGGGAAATGAGAACAAGAACAAAATTAAGCTTGACAAATGTGCCTATCTCTAATTTTAACAAGCTCTATGACAGATAACTGAACATTGGAATGGATCTGATTATTTTCATTGGCAAAAGACTCTTCAGACCTATAAACTGTGTAGAACTGGGAAAGCTACTTTTACATGCCATTTTTTGTTTAAAAACAAATTATTGTTTAAAATTAAGATGTTTGTGCTAGATTTAGCTGCTAAACTAGGGTTTTTGGAAGAATATATGAGAAGCCTTGGTTTTTGTGCATCTAAACATTTTACTAGATGTGAAAGCCAAGTGTGCTGCTTATATACCTCCCCATAGCACTTTAAATCTCTGGGCAGTTTACAATTTAATTCTGCAAGCTACACATCGTCCCTACCCTTAGCAAGCTGGGTACTCAGTTTACTGATGTGGGAAGAATGGAAGGCTGAGTCAACCAGTTTGAGCCCACTGGGATAAAACTCAGGTCATGAGCCGAGTCTTGGTTTGACCATTGCGCCACAAGGCTCTTTCAAAATATAGATATAATTAAAATGGTGAGATCTGAATGTTCAAACGAGTGCAGGATTTCTAAGCACTTCAAGAATAGCTACCCTATCTAATCACATTTATTCTCTCTCCCAGCATTTTGTCTTGCTTTGCAGATACTATAACTTATAGTCATAGAAAGGCCTTTACTGAAGCACATTTGAATATATTGTCATTTTCTGTGTAGACAATTATAATCAGATTCCGTACAATAAAAGAGTCTGCCTTTGCAAGTGTGGCTTTCCAGTGTTGTATCATGGTTGAGCATGAAGGGCTTTTGAGGTCCTTCTTAGAACCGTGGGAAATCCAGATCAGGATCAGTTTGTGACACAAGGACAAATGTTTCACATTCCAAATAGCAACATTTTTCTTGTAAAGACTAAGTCTTAACTCCTTTTTATAAGCAAAGTTGACTGTTGTGGTAAGTTGTTCTGCCCTGAGCCACTTGATGTAGAATGTGGAACAGTTACATTACAATAGCGTTTATAATATGTTCTCATTTTTATTATGAAAATTTTATACTTAAATATAGCACATGAGTACAGTTTATTTAAATTTTTACTGATATTATTGGATTTTCTCCTTTCTAATTTTATTTTACAATGTTTGCTGTTGCTTGTGTGCTAGAGCAGTAAAACAGAAGATGATGCTTTAGATCTTAAAAGAGATTTCTTTTGGTACATTATATTGAGATATGTTGTATGCAGAAAAACGAAGCTACTGAAGCAAAAGAGGTAATTAGATTGTTACTGTTTTAGAGTATTTGGTATTAAAAAAACATAGCCATTTTGGGAGAAAGCAAACCCCCATGTAGTTCTGTCAAATGAAAATAAATGGGGAAAAAAACCTGTACAGAATTTTGCAACCTTGAGAAAAATCAGGTCTTGCTCTACATGGTAAGGTAAAGGTAAAGGTTCCCCTTGACAATTTTTGTCCAGTCGTGTTCGACTCTAGGGGGCAGTGCTCATCCCTGTTTCCAAGCCATAGAGCCAGCGTTTTTTTGTCCGAAGACAATCTTCCGTGGTCACATGGCCAGTGCGACTTAGACACGGAACGCGCTGTTACCTTCCCACCGAAGTGGTCCCTATTTATCTACTTGCATTTGCGTGCTTTCGAACCGCTAGGTTGGCGGGAGCTGGGACAAGCAACGGGAGCTCACTCCGTTGCGTGGATTCGATCTTACGACTGCTTGGTCTTCTGACCCTGCAGCACAGGCGTCTGCGGTTTAGCCCGCAGCGCCACCACGTCCCTACATGGTGAATCTTCAAAATTAATGATTTTGACTAAAGCAAAACTGCTGTGGAGTGTTTTTGTTTGAGATATAAAATCTATTTTTATCAGATGATTTATGTGAAAGTTGGTTTGCTGAGCCACACTGGCTTTTGAATTGTAAGAAGTCATAGAAAGTGTGTTCACATGCTGATTGTAAGATGCAAAAAATGGCATTTTTAGAAAAAAAAGTTGTATTTTCTCAACTTGCAGAATACACAAACAAAAAAATATCTTCCAAAGCAGATGATCTCCTAAAAATAATGATTGTTGGAAACATATTTTTGATAATACTAGTGATACTACTCTCTCTCTTTATACTTTCATACTCTTTCTTACATACAAGTCCAGCTCTTGGTGTTTCTGATCTGAAAGCATTGGATTCATGAACGCTAAATTTGCAGCACAGTAGTATTGAAAAGTTATTGAAATGTTAAAAGAGCCAATCACTTGGGTTTCTCACAATTTTTAAAATCTTCCATATAAAACAAATGCCTTTTCTTCAGACAAGTGTGGCTAGTTTGATTTTTCTGTGTTAAAAAATGAAGGTTAAGTAGAACGTTTTGATAAATTGTCAGGTATTGGAGTTGTTTATATGTCATCTACCTGTTAATTATTTCCATCTGCACATATGGCTGCTGTAGGAAAATAAATGGTTCATGGTTTTAAACTGAAACTATTGCTGAGTTTGTCTTGGCACTAACTTGAGCTTAAAGCAGTCTCTTCTGGTGTGCTGACACATGGAGTTGCTTAGATATATTAAACATTTTCTCTTGTTTGGCAAGTGAAACATAGACTTTTGTTCACATAAGTCATGTAAAAATCACGCATTGTAGGAGCTGACAGTTTCAAACAGGAAAGATAGGGGCTGCATACAGATTAAAAGCAACTTTAATATCCAACAGCTTTTTCCATTAGGATATAGAGATCTGTAAACTTTAGCTTATGTAATACAAAAGTGTGTCTTATTGCCAGTCATTGTTACATCTTCTAGCTAAGAAATTAGGATGGGGCAAACATTTTTAATATTGCAAAAGGGATGTTAAAGAAGGTTTGTTTCTTATGTTAAAATAATAAGGATGCCAAAACGCTAAATTAAAAAAACGGGGCACAAAAAGTCATAGTCCATATACTTTGTAAGGGATAGGTAGATTTGATGTAAAGTGAAAAGCAAGTCAGAGCAATGTGTCTTATGAATGGCCAGGTTCTGTTATACTCCATTAGCCTTAACAGTTGAACTCTTGGGTAGGAATTCATCTTCTGTATCAAGCTCTTGATGCCTGCCTCATAGATTTCCACTTAGAAAATTTGCTAGGTTTTGAACATTCTTTAGAAAGTAATTCTGAGTGGTTTTGAGAAAGCAGATGGCATTGAGTTGTGAAAGTGACTGGTATGGGATGTCAGGAGAATGAGAGATGAGTAATGCATATATCTTCCTTACAGATTTTAGAATTTGGTTATTATGTCATAACAACTGACTTCAAACTCATTTAGGCTTTTGAGAAGTCTTTCAGTCTGACTGTGTATCAGACAGAATGCAAACATGAAATTACAGTTACATTTCCCATCTGTTGTCTCCCGTAAATTTATGAAAAGATAAACCTTTTACAAACATTTATTCCATGTACAAAGTATATTTGTTTACATAACTTTTATCACTTCAGAAAAGATGAACAGCAAGTAAAAATGATAATGCAGTTGTATAATCAATGTCCTTAATGGAACTGTTGTGTATACTAATTTCCTTTGTCTGTAGCTTTTTTCTATATGGATTACCCCTGAATTTTTCTTACATTGTTAATTTTATTCAATTGAAACAGCCCTCAATCTTTCATAAACTACTCCAGTTATTAAGGCTTTGGTTCTGTTAACATATACCACAGCTCATATAAAGAAGCAGTACAGATTTTATAATTAAGAAGCCATAAAAATAGGGTGTGTGTGCGCGCTTTGGTCTGTCTTTGACAAAGCAAAGAAACCATGTGAGCAAAAGTCTAATGAAACAGATAAAACTAATACATTTACACCTACATCATCTATAACAGTATGTCTGCAGCCCTCTTTAGCCAATTTATGAAGGGATGAACATAGAAACTGACATGCCCCCCTCTTTGTGTTCTCTGGCATAGGCTGGAGTGATACCTTCTGAAGTATAAGATCTTAGGGTTCTACATTGGCTACA